AGGGACAAAGTAAACATAAGCAAGTTTGGGGTGTAACTCAGGTGAAATTAGAAACTTTTCCAGAGAAAGGGAAAATGTTTGGGGAACATTTCACTAATGTCTGGAAGTATCAAAGGTGACAGTTCGGAGACATCCAAGGCACTCTCTGGCTCCAGTGACTATTTCTAAATAGCAGCATTCACTGTTTCAGGCTTGCCGAGCCTCAGCTTTCTCAAGGCTCTGGGGGAACAGCGGTCAGCATGGTGGCTGCGAGCAATACTGGGAGTCTGCCCAGGCAAGGAAAGGGGGGGGCTGATAATGATAGGAAAGTGTGATGAATTATTCCTCTGCTTGTCATCTTTATTTAAGTTACTGCCTTTTGCATCCAGGGGAACCAGAGTCCTTCCAACAGAGTTGCTTTGGATTTCTTAATATTGGGAGACAGTTGTGACGTTTGTCCTGCCCTGGGCACAATTAGACTCAAAGCATTTTTAGTGCATTTTCTTATCCATCGTGATCTCCCCGTTTCTTTATCAGAGGAACCCAAAGTCCTCACCAAAGTCCTCCAGAGACTGATCCTTTCCCTGTGCTGTAGCATAGAGAAAGTAATGGTTGCAATGCAAAATGCCCAAGTCTTTTGCTTGCTTGTTTCTTCCCTTCTTTGAAAAGGTTGTTATTACAGCTGCCCTTCTAGAAACAGACTTTTGTACAACAGTGCAGTAGGGAAACATTTGCAGGAATTCATGATACTATGTAAGACAGAAATCAAGTTCTCAAGATGATACAGGAAGCAGCGGCAGAGCTGAGCATGGATTTTGGGAACACAACGCCTCAGTCTCTTCAACAGCCACGTTTCTGTCTGACCTCTGCATCTCAGCCTGCTGTCTCCCCTGATGTTTATTTCTGCTGCACACTACAGCATAGCTGGTTACTTTAAGACAGGCAATATTGTCTGATTTGCCTACCTCCCATATTTATTCTCTGGAGTAGACACCTTAAGCAACACATACAATGTTGCAACAAATAAAATCAGCATCCAACAATGCTGCCATGCAGTCCAAACAGTTTTCCAGACCACATCACACAACAGCATTCTTAAAGGCACACGTTTGGCCAAGCAGGCCAACAGCGTCCTGGCCTGTATCAGCACTTGTGTGGCCAGCAGGAGTAAGGAAGTGATCGTGCCCCTGTACTCGGCACTGGTGAGGCTGCACCTTGAATACTGTGTTCAGTGTTGGGCCCCTCACTACAAGAAGGACGTTGAGGTGCTGGAGCGTGTCCAGAGAAGGGCAACGAAGCTGGTGAGGGGTCTGGAGCACAAGTCTTATGAGGAGCGGCTGAGGGAACTGGGGTTGTTTAGTCTGGAGAAGAGGAGGCTGAGGGGAGACCTTATCGCTCTCTACAACTACCTGAAAGGGGGTAGTGGCGACGAGGGTGTTGGCCTCTTCTCCCAAGTAACTAGTGATAGGACGAGAGGAAATGGCCTCAAGTTGCGCCAGGGGAGGTTTAGATTGGATATTAGGAAAAATTTCTTCACTGAGAGGGTGGTCAGGCATTGGAACAGGCTGCCCAGGGAGGCGGTGGAGTCACCATCTCTGGAAGTGTTCAAAAAACGTGTGGATGTGGCGCTTCAGGACATGGTTTAGGGGAAATGGTGGCGCTGGATTAATGGTTGGACTTGATGATCTTGAAGGTCCTTTCCAACCTAGTGATTCTGTGACTCTTTGCACCCACTCCTTCCTAACAAGAGCTGCAAAATGTATTCTGATTTCTGGTCTTACTACCCCAGCAGCTTCCCTCAATGTAAATAGCTTATTTATCTCCTTGGCATTTATTGCCTTAGATAAAGAGCAATACTATATGCTTGCATGGTCCTTTCTATTGGGTGTGCCCTACTTTCCTTGCCCTCTCAGGAAGAGGAACTCTTCCTTTCCCCTGGTTAATTTGGGGGTCTCTTCTAGTTTGAGTTCACCTTTATCACCTAACCAGAAAAGCACGCACTGTTCCAGGGCTTGTCTTACCCAGACGTTAATTCTCTTCTAATGTGCCCCAATACAATGTTGGATTGGTGCAACATCAATCCATTTCCCAGCTGCGACACACTGGTGACTTCTGTTCTGAGTCTTCAGCTTCCAGCAAAAAATACTTGATATTTATCCCTAACTACATAATCACATAGTACATCATTTCCTGTCATTCCTGGCACCCTTGTCCCAAGGTCATCTAGTTCTCTGCATACAACAGTTGCTGTTCTTTACCAGAGCTATGCAGAATGCTGCATAATGTCTATAAGCAACTACAAATCCTCTCCCCGTTTCTAGAAGCTTGGGTACAGATTAGACAGTCTAGACAGACAATAGGAAGAAAGAATAAAGGATTTCTAAGGACTTTTCTGTATAATCCTGCTTGCAATACTGAACTGCTCTGCAAAATGCCAGAAGCACCATCTTTTTATATCTTGTTTGCTGATCACTTTGATAAAACTTGTGATCTTCTCATTCTCCTAAGCAGTTATTAAACAACTATATCTTTAAGTCACATAGAATTAATAAAATCAGCATAAAACCTGATTGAATGAACTCTGTTTAAATGAGATCATGAAAGTGTCCCCTCACATGGAAGGAATCCTGCGCTCATTTGTTCAGACTGATGTCAAGATGTGTAAGCATTGCTACGTGTCCTCCAGAATCACAGTAACTGGCTTCAGAAGTGGTACTTCCCATAGCCTGAAGTTCTGGACCTTGCTTTGTTACTTGATTAAAATAGGGAACTGGAAGACAAGAGGTATTTATCATCTGAGATCTGACAGACTTTAAGTACAAATATCAATACGGAAGGAATACAGCACTGCTGCCTTGGGTGTAGTACCTTCCCAACTGGGTGCAACTGAGAAGCGGCTCAAGAAAAGCCAATGGAGATTTTTCATACAGGAATGGTGAATGCAACACAGACCTGAGGAGGAAATGGCACACACCTCCTGGAGAGCGCTCCGAGGTCCCACTCCCACCCACTGTGGCAATTTCCCACTCCTGCAACTTCAGGCAATTCAAAGCGCCTAGGGATTTTTCCCCTTAGGTTCCGACCTCTTAAACTCAAGAAAATGAAAGCAATAGCAATAAGGTAGTAAAACAATCACCCCAAAGACCTTTCCATTTACAAAAAAAGCTGAAATAAAGGGATCTTTTTCTTAGATCACTCTAGAGATTGAATCTGTGTTTTTCATTTCTCAGTCTCTATTCCTGGGTCACGCACGCTGTTCTCAGAACAGCACATCGTCCAGTGGCAGGGAACTTCCAAGGCAGGCGCAAAGCCCTGCTTTCAGATTAGGCATCCATCCAACCCTCCACCCTGAACGAGGCAGACAAGTGTTTAGGGGATGCAGCTGCATTTTTAAAGCATTCCAGGTTAGTATTTTAACTTTACTAATACAGAAACTAGGCTTAGGGACTTAACTTCCATGAAGCTGAGGATTGTGAGCACAGGGAAAAAATTCCCTGGACAGACTAAACTATCTGTCTCTGAACTAGGCATACTGGATACCTGCCACATCTCACACTTGCCATGCTTACCCTGAGCAACACTCCACATTTCTGTCTGGGACTATCTGACAAGAAACAGACATGGGAACATTATTCAGATCTCCTGTTTTTTTTCCTGGAATGCAGGGCACCTTTGCTTGGGTACCTCAATGTCCTGCTTTGCAGCCCTTCCCACAGAACTAGCTCTGTGTAACTTGCCTCCATTCATTCGGTGCACACGAAGCAAACCTGGGAGCAGAGAATTCAAGTCAATTCTTAGTCTACATCATTAGCCACAATCTCTCCCTTAAGGGATATAAACTAAAGGTATCCAAGTTTGCTGCCAGCATATTTCTGATCCTCATTTCACCTATTCATAAAAGTCAACGCTGCACCACAGAATGCTGATATTTATTGCACTCTGGATATGGCTACTCCCAGGCACTTATCTGGAACACAAACCTAAGTATTGACGCCAAAACTCACTAGTTGCCTGGATATTTATGTAGCAATCCTGGTATCAGTTAAAGAAAGTGCTCTGACACAAGGAAACAACAACTCATCGTAGTTATGTGTAGGTGCTCCCAGCTATACATGGGGCTTTGCAAGCAAAAAGGCAGTGGGCCAAGTTCTCAGGAGTGCTCAGTTCCCACTGAGAAACAGCCTCTTCTGTGGTTAATTGGAAGTTAAGTGCTAAGCTAGTTGGAAAAAGGTCTCTCTACACAAAACAACCAAAACTGCTCAAGATTGAGCACTGAGTCCTTAGTAAGCCCCCAGAAGCTCCACCTCCTTCTACTGATCAGAGGCGTAAAGAGACCATAGGCAGCATCTTTATTTTTAAAGCATCTAAGGAATCTGTGATACTAAGAAACTTTGAAAGCAGATGGGCAAGTCCCTTCCACCCCATCACTGGCTTCAGGAAATCCCAACCTCCAAAGCCCTAAGGCTTAGAACGTTGGAGACACTAAGCAAGACCTGGGCAATCGTAACTAGCCACTTACATGCACATCAACTTTGCCTGCACCCTCCCATGGCAGACAAACTGCCCTGCTTGTAAAATAACCCTTAACTGATCTGCCAGAGGCAGTAAAGCCAGTCAGGGCCAGAACCGGATTAAAGATCTAGGGATTTCCAGTCCCCTGAAATACCCATTAAACTGTATCACCCTGGTCTGTTGCCAACTATTAGGAAATTACCCCAGCAAGGAGCATTCCAAAGAGAACTTGCAGACAGGCTCAAGCTCTCCTGCAAACTGTATTAACTAAATGGCCATTTGGCTAGGGAGCAATGTTATAAATACTTAAGCTACAAATTAAAAGCGTGTTTGAGAGTTGTGCTGTCAAGCTAGTTGTCATCTTAGCTGCAGCATCACCAGTACATGAGTTTATTTCATAACTCAAACCTACAAATCCCACCCAGTGACCTATATTTGAAGTGGGGGTCTCTGGGAAAGTTACTGACGTCCCTTGAAATTTGCCAGAACCAAGCTAGTCCGTATGTATTTTAGGACATGGGACCAGATGCTTGCTGCAAGGCCCAATCCACAGCACCGGCAGGTGGCACAGCGCCAGGGGATCTCTTCCTCTGCTGGAAGCGAACCATGGTGCGTTCACTCAGTTTCTGGCCCCACAGGCGGGCAAGGCTCACCGCAGTTTGTCCCTCACTGTCTGGGCTCAGAGCTCGTGCCCCGTAACTAAGGAGCAGTTCAACGCAGTCACACCGGCCCGCGACAGCGGCAACATGAAGGGCAGTCCTTCCTAGCGGGGTTGTAGAATGCAAATTCGCACCTGTAAAAATATCATACATCGTCTCAGCGTGACAAGGCATACGGAAGGAGGCAATGCCACCTGCGGGCCACAACGCACAATTCTTTTCTGAAGGCAGACACAGTTTGGTTTAGTTGCATCAATGGAATTAACAAACCAGTCTAATGAACAAATGCTCCTGCCCTTTGCTGTCACACAACTGGATATTCTTTGTTGTGTCCAGCTATTGCTGGCTTTGCCACAGCTAAGCGTTGCCTTGACTTTTGCATGCAGAGCTCTCCCTTATTGGGAGAGGACAATGTCCTTTAACAGGGACAAACTGTGAGGAGACCAGGCTCAGGAACCTGGATTGAATGGAGCACCCTCTGTCAAGACAAGGTGGGATTTCCTCACTTTCAATGATTAAAAAAAAGTGATTAACAAATGTCCTTTCATTCAGGACAATCAAGTGACCTCAGCCGACCCAAAGGACTGTCCATTGTGCAAATGCAGATTTCTGGGAAAAGAAGGCTACAAAGCAACAAAAGCACCCAAATGTCAAAGCCATAGAACTAGTGCTTACAAACCTCGTTGCATTCCAGTAGCTGATAAAGCACTGCACAGGACTGATAAAAACTAAGCATTTCTAGATAAGAAAATGGCAACAAGTAAATGAGACTCAGAGGGAAGTAAAAAAATCAGAAATCCTATTTTCCAATATGAATTTAACACCAAAAGTCACTACACTTCGCAAGAACAGCAGTTTTTTTATTGCCTCTAATTCTACATCAGAATTGATGTGCCAAATACATTCTCCACCTCAAATACAAAACATGTGAGGCCATCTGGGTGAAATTCCATGGCCTGGGTAAGCAGGAAGGTGGTTTGTTGTGCAGTTACAGACAGAGAAGAACTGCTCTAGCTGAGAATATTACCATGCCTCAGGAGAAACTTGACAGTTTCAACATGACCTCTGTGGCTGGCAACAAACAGTGCCACGAAAGCTCGGTGTGCTACCCATTCCTTTTTCTGCTCTGGTCCCAGTAACTCTGCGTGTGGCGTGGTGCCCGCAGAGTCCTCCGTAACACCCAGGCAAGCTAGCTGCAGAATAAACACGAACCTGTTAGTCTCTTTCAAAAGAGTAGTCTGATTCTTTTAGGTATCAACAAAGTCTCATATCCATGCTTAGGAGATGCTTGCACACTGCATAAACCACTCCAAGAGCAGTTAAATAATACCTGCTTATTTCTTACTCTTCTGCCCTGTGTTGATTCTCTACTAGCTAATGATGTTTATTCATAGCCATCCCTTGGAGGGAACACTAATTTAGGTTTTCCTTTCACAGATAGTTATTAAGCACCACAAAATCTTGTAGAAACTGTTTCTTTGCAATGCTTGTCCTTCTCTTAAATTTTTTGGAAACTGACCTGAGGTTTTGGACAAAGAGGACAAAGAGACAGTGCTGGCCACATAAGCCCAGGTTCCCTAGGAGGGAGGTGAGACTTTGGACCTCAATTCCAGCAGACAACTCACAAGCCTAAGCTGCCTTGGGAAACAGTCCTGTATCACATTCTTTTCCAGAAGGAGCTTTTTTTTTTTTTGTAATAAAGCCAAACACATCAGTTCTAAAGCACTGCTCAGAGTCCTCTTAGGAAGAACTTTCAGTTGCCTCATGCCGCTGTTCTTCTTGAGAAACCATTTTCCATGTTGGGCTGCATCTTCCACAGTGCACCATGGTTTTCCCATCTAAGAAGTGGAAGTGCTGTACAGTTATTTCTTGAAAAGATTTTTTTTTTTTCCATTTGAAAATCAACAGTGTCAACAAGATTTCTATGGGGCTTTTATGCCAATACACCTTTCATTTCAAAGGACCCATTTGTCTTTGTGGCCCATCCTTCTGTTTCCTGCTCTACACTGAGCAGGATGAATCTTTAACACATACAGAACTCAAAACACAAGGGAAAACAAAACAAAACCCTTAATTTGCCCAGTAGCAAAACGCAAGCCATTTGTGGCACGAGGCAGAACAGCTGCTTGCCAGTGAACTGCAACACAACAGTTTACAAAAGGAAGAGAAGAACCTTGCGGTATCCGTTTGCAGTGGTTGGGGAAACACAGAGTAACAGAATGTGATTAGCCAGGTTGGAATTTGGCCAGGGCAATGGAGATAATGGTTCTTTACGAAAGGTGCCAAGGGATATTTCATGACCACATCTGTTCAGGCCTGAAGGTTTACAGTACAAATCAGCTGGAGTACCCTGTGTTTCTGCTGAGACGTTTCAGTCCTAAATGAAGAAAGCAGCATGCCCTCCATCAAAGCACCACAGAAACTGTTTGTTCTATGAAAAATCAAAGCTTTCTTACTAATCAGACTCGACGGGATCGCAAACTCAAGAAGGTCTGTAAGCTAACACCAGATCAAGTGGCTGAGACAGGGAATGTCTCCTGACTCTTGATTTTGATAGTCATGTGTCGAGTCCCATTCTTACTTGGGAGTCAGTACAGCCAGAGCAGCGTTTCTGTCTCTGATCCTCATGATAACAGACAAGTCACTTGGCCTCACCGGAATACCCAAGAACAGATAATCTCCATCTTCTAATGACGTTTTAAGATTAAAAAAAGGCTTTGTTTACATACAATGTTTTATTTCTCCTATGTTTTCCCAGTGGGAAACACTGGGATCAAGTATCTTTTGTTAACACATCAGAAGGGTAAACTGGCAGGCAGCTGAATAAAAAATGCAAACATTTTTTGGACATCAGGATAAGCAGGGACAAGAAAAGTAATCTGAAAGTATATTCGCATCAGCGCTACAAAAAGTTGTGAAACTGAAAAGAACTTGAGCTCCAAGCGTATACGCTGTTTACTAGTAACAGCAAAAAGAAGTCCTATTTCTAAACTGAACAGACTGCATTAAGGGTTGACGACTCTGTTTTGGATTACCAGCCCCCTTGAAATTACCATTTTCATTGCGAACTGTTGCAAGTTCCACTAACCTACTTAATTTGTATGGCAAGTCTCTTCCATTAAACACTTCCCTGCTATTTGCTCTATGAAGTTCTGCTTTACAAGAGTACTCGGACCTTCAGCAATACGCTTTTAGCGTTTCCACATACAGTACCCCACCCATTCACTGAAGTAATGGAATCAACCTTCATAGTCTCTCCTTTTGCAGCAGCTGCCACAAGCTCCCCCCAGCCATCTTGTCGCCAGATGCGCATTGTAATTGTTCCACCAGGGACAATATCGTTGTCCTTAAACGTAGACTCATCTGGCAGATCTACTGCAGGGAGTTAGAAAAGAAAAACAAAGCAAGTCAACATATCCTCAGAGAAGACAACGACCAGCTTAAAAAAACAAGTTAGATGGTGACTGAATTCTTTTAGCCATGCTGGTCTCTGATTTTACTGTCACAACGCATCAAGGACACCTTGGGTCCCGTTATGCTAAGGCTATGAAACCACAGATTCACTCCCAGCCTAGAAAAAGGCTACACTATATACTGCTCTTGGGATAATACGGCTGTAACCCACAGAAAGCTGCAGTTAACATGTTAAGTACCAAGACTGCAGCAGAAAAAGAGTTAAGTGCATCCATGCACATGTGGTGTCTTTATTCTGAAAAGCAAGCACCAAATTTTTTTGATCCGAGAAAGCAAATAGTAGGAAGAATTGTTTTAAGTATGTTTAAACAAGTTTCAATGGCCATCTCTGCTTGTCACCTCCAAAGCCAAGTACTCCACCACCACAGATTCAGCTGCTGTAACAGGGTAAAACCACTGCTCCACACAATTCTAACTGCAGAGAGGTGGGCGAGAGCTGCTGGAGCTGTTCTAGGCTGAGGTGAATCAGCCAGGTACTGGCATCGGCTGTTCACAAGCCTAAGCAGGAACTTGTAGGTCAGCATTTGCAATCTCTAACCTAAAGAGATCCTGTTGAGTAGACCATTATCTTTAAGGACTAGGAAGCAAAGTTAAGCGTTAAGTCAAGAGCTGAATTCCAACTGCAGTGCAGTAAAAAGAGGAAAGCAGAACCCTGACCTTCATCCAAGACCTGAACATAGCCATAACTAGCAGGTAGAAAGATACGAGTAAACCCCAAGAACCCCAGAGGTTACAGATTCTCACCTTCATCCAAGTACTGAAGCCGCTGGAAGTGAAGGGGGATCCCAGTCAACAATTCTAAATGGGACCTGAGCATCTTCAGAGCCAAATCATTTTGGCATCGAGGCAGTGAAAAGATTTCATTAGTTTCAGCCAGACGGAGCTGGACACTAAAGGTCCGCAGGGGCAAGGAAGGCATGGTGATGCAGCTGTTCCTGACCAGAAGTTTGAGAGACTTTGAGAGACTCTTTGAAAAACCTTGGTATCATTACAGGGACAGGGGTCTGGATCTGGCAGTAATTCCTCCCTCCCCTGGATATACCTCTATATCACTAAAGCCCTCCATGTGTAGATCCCCCTGTGTGTCACAAGCATGTTACAGTACCCAAGCAGCACAAACTGACATCACAGTACAGTCTGCAAGTGTGATGTAACAGCCTATACAAACTTACCAGAGACCACCACAGAAAGTAACGCACCAAACTTACTTAGAAGACAAGCAGTAGAGAAGCAAAGTAGTAACTTGGGTAAATACCCAAGGTTGCCCATATTTTATGTTCCTATTTTCTTTATGTTAAAGTCTAGATCTCAATCTACATGTGTAGTCTAATGCATAATATAAAGAGCATACGGTGGTTTAATTTGTGTTTCCAGTTTACTGCACAGGGGTATTCTGCCCTAACTCAAAGCCTCTGGGCAGGCTTTACCAGGGGTGCAGGGACTGCTTATTCTCCTCGCTTTTGCATCAGCCAACATCCTGCGGGCGGGGGGGAGGTCAGGTATGCTTTTGCAGCAGCTGGCAGAAGCTCTAGAGCACAAGGATGGAGCAGCCAGCGAGTGCCTCAAACAGCCAAAAGGGCAACTGCAGCATCAGAGGATATAAAAGACTCCCGAGATTAGAAGCAAAACCAAACAGCCAGGCATCAGTTATTCATTCCCCTACACACACACACTGCCCAGGATCTAACAACTGCACAGAGTTCAATAATGTAGGATGCCTGGGAGCAATGCCACGGGGAAAAAAGTGTCCCGAACATCCTTCCAGGCTGAAGTCTGGAGAGGGGAGTATTTAGAAGATCTGAATGCCACTCTCACCCAGCACACACAAGTTCTCTTTGTTTAAGATACAGTTTGGACAGAACAATTTTAGTTGGGAAGCACTTTTGGCATGCACACTTCAAGGAAAAAGCAGTATTTCAGTGCACAGGGTGATGAATTCCACACTCAACCCTGGTTTAAGAGGTGACAGCATTTATGCCAGGAAGATGTCTCCTTAACCAGAAGAATACACTCACAACCCACTTACAAAAGTCAGTTACCACAAGTTGGTTTATAAAACAGTCACAGGATTTATTGAGATAAATACAAAGTTACACAGATTCTCTGACAAATGAATGACACTTCCAGAGTGTCCCCACTTGATGGGGTTCTGAACACCACTGTGTGCAGACACAGCTGCCGCTCGGGCAGCCCCCCGACCCACGCCAAGCATCTATCACGCACAAGACCAGCGAGCCTGGACTCTAAGCCACATGTCTAACATGCTTTGGATGACAAGTGCTTGATCATTTCCTACAGCATCCAAGCAATATTGCACCCACTAACATTATTTTCATGTTCCTTAGCTAGAAATGTTTAAAAGTGATATTCTTACTGCTTTTGTGAAAGTGGATCAACTACCTAACTTTGCTCCATCTGGCTTTTAAAAATACATATTTTTGCATAATTTAAACAACCCAGAGAACTGTATGTGAACACACCGCTTTACTCATCATTGCATACATTTGTCTAGTACAAGAGGTAAAGTGCAGTCTTTAGTCATGCTGAAATCATTTCTAGTTTAAAACTCAACCAAAAAAGACAAACCTTGTAGAAGGTAAATCTGTTTAATAGACCTGCACATTGTTTACAAAAAACCCACCCCAAAGCTATGTCACCCCCCATTACTGCATGCAACTGTCAAGTTTTAACAAAGTTTTTAAACACCCTATTGAAATCATATCATTTAAAGCAGACATGATTTCTGGAGCCAGAGAGGTACCAAAATATTGTTAAAAACAAAATAACTTTGTTTAGCCTTTTAGTGAACTTTTATAGCTGGTGGCTTACTGTTTACACACATTCTAATTAAAAATTCTTACTGAACACTAACCAAACATGCCAAAACACACGGAAGCTTGTGTTTTCCAGTGGATTATTGCAAGTAAAGGTAACTATTTAAGATTATCTGACAAACAGAAACCTGGGTTGGGTTAATGTTCAAAGTATTTAATTTATATACAGTACATTTCAACCATACTTACATATACACACTCTTAAAAAAATTTGTTCAGTGCTGAGAAATTTAATGAACTGATAATGAAAAACAGAAGTAAAACCTTGTCAGAAAAGCCTTAGAAAATCTGAACTGTTAGAAAATACCAGTATAATGCCAGCATTAGAAAAAGGTATTAGAACTAGAAAAAATTAAACTTGAGGGGTCTTTTTGTTAAGAAATTGCAATCATAAAAAGTCTGTACTGTAGAAGCATTTGTTTTAAATTATAAAAAAATGTAAAAAATTAAATGTAGAATGTTGTAGAATTTACAGAGTTTATAGCGTTTGCTGTAATAGAAGGAACAGCAGTGGCATATTTCTGCCTGCAACTTCCAAAAAGCATTTTGTGATCTCACAAGAAAACAAATTGTTACAAATACTATACATATTATAATACAAGACTAGTTAAACTCATACAAAACTGAGCACTCCAAAAGTACAGAACCCAGCTGAGGAACCTACTTGCTATATTGCAGACAAGCCAGATTTAAAACAAAATAGAAAGGAAAAAAGTAATTTCTGTAAAAACCTTCACGCGTGTGAACTACTTACTAGTATCATAATGAAATAGGGGGAAATATTTACACAGGTCTGTTTATGATAAAGTATTGTGTTCACAGACAAGAAACTAACTGTTACTACATGAAACCATTTCTTTAGTATTTAAGCATTAGTTTTTTAACAGGACAAAATTCCAATCCACAATCTAAACAAGTAAGACTTGTATTTTTTTCCCAGGCCCCATATTTGTCTGCAGATTTGGGACACAACAGAAGACGGGATCCACCACCAAGTATTAGCTTTACAATTTTTCAAGCTGGTCAGAAGCTATCAGACTTTAACAGAACTGCATTCTATCTGTATATTCTTTTTTTCTTCCAAAACAACTGTTTAAATACACAGAAGACATCCTCCTTAAGCTTAAGGATCTCAGTAACCTTCATTTGTCGTTTGCCCCAGGCCCTACCATACAGAAGTTATGGAGCAAACTGCATCAACACCTTTCCCCTGAACATTTGTTACTTGGAGTTTTTCAGAATTTAGAGGCCCTTTGTTTCTTAGGAACAAAGTAGCAGGCTGTTCGGGATCTGAACATTGGACCAGGTAAAAGGTATTTTTTAGATGAGGTGTGTATGCAAAACAAACAAAAACTGAAGTCTGTAAAGTTCTGTAATACCTACAGACACAGTACATGCTGCAGGATCCGAATCCCTGAAATGAACTTTCCTAGGGCAGAATGAGTAGTGCTCAGTTTGGGGAATTTACAGTCTACCTACCACCACAAGACCCAGCAGTAACAAAACCAAACATGTTAACACCTGTAACAATATAGCTCAGAAACAACAAATTAATAGAGAAGTCACAACAACATACAAGGAATCTTGAGCTCTCTATGCTTTGAAAAAGTATCACATTGAGTAAAAATAAACCATGCCTTAATTCTAGCAGAGTAACTACTTTATAAAATGAAATGATTTTTGAGCTTTTTTCCACTGATGAGGAATTAAGTTCTTCATCGTTTTTTGTTAAAATTCAAAACTATTCACAAATATACACTTTTTTCAGTTAAAATATAATACTTGAAACAATACAAAAACTACAGTAAAAGTGAGGAAAGGTATGTTTGCTATAATCAGGTTTTAAGATTCAGAAACCATTTTAAGCTTATAGCAGACTGCTCTACTACTGGAAATGTTTTGTTAAAAAATGTAATATGAATTCCAATTACACTGAAACACTGAGTGTGGCATAAGACTTTACACACCATACTTAACTGCAGGTGAGATCAGACTTACCACCCACGTTTACAAAGAAAAAAACAAAAGGAATTACTCATGCATATTAGACAGAAACACACACCTGTAGATGAAATGTGGTCATGAAATGAAGATCGTAACATTTCTCAATAGACCCCTTCCAGCTCAAGTAGGTAACAAAAACTTTCTTATTTGTCCTCATTATTGATACTAACCGCAAACATAAGGTGAATAACCCTTCTGATGTTCAGATGTTACTGCAGAACACATTAGTTTTGCTTTTCAATGCTAGTATTGTCCATGTGACCCTGCCTTAGTTTTATGGTGGCAAAGAAGGACACATCTTGATCTCTGTCAGACTGCAGGGCTAGAATGGTCTCTTCCGCAGCTTCTAGATGAGGATTGCCAATGCTTTTAAAATAAGCTAGAATAAGGGGAGAAAAAGACAATTTTCATCAAAACCAAAAGAATAAACCCTAGAGCGCAAGTAGTGCAGAAATAGAGAGAATGCCAAAAACATCTGGGGTAGCTCATCCAATTTACAGGCTCCTTCGAGAAACTACAGCAAGCTAAGGAAGCTGACAGAAAAAGAAATATGCTGCTTCCAACTCATCTTATTAGGTACTTCAGTATATCTAAAAGAAATTCTTTTTGCTGAGCCCTAAACAGAAATGCATCAACAAGTCAAATCAAGCTCAGGAAGCTGCCACTGTACAATGCACTGTAAAACATTCTCCATACTTTATTCTGAAAACAGATACGAGACGAGATTTCTGTGCATCTTCCTTTGAATAGAGATCAGCTGATTGATTTGTTTTTAAGGAATTGTAATACAGGAAATTGTAGCAGCACACAAAATTGCATTCTTTCCTAGTACAACTGTTAGCTTAAGACTAAAATGAACAAGAGAATCATTCCAGAAAAAAAGGTATAATACTTCATCTGAAGTACCCCAAAGACAACTACTTCGTTAACATAGAAGTTTGAAATATATCAAAATAATCTAATGTGATGTTTAAGAAAAATGTATTTGCCATACACATCTCAGATACCAGAAATAACCACCCGCAGCAACAGCCGGGCATTGCAGTGCTTGGCGCTCTAACGAATGACGTAACTGCCCTCT